GGACGGGACCAGGAGAGCTTTGTGCCGTGGGGTGCGCGCAACCCTGCAGCACCGCGGACCCGCTCACCGGGCCTGGGGGGTGCAATGGGCTCCCCAGCATCAGCACCTGCTGCTGCTGTGTGTGTGTGCGCGTGCATGTTCATGCAGGCGTGCATACGTGTGCATGCAGGCGTGCATGTGTATGCACATGCGTGCACGTAGGTGTGCATGTGTCTGTGCGCGCGCATGCATATGTACGCTCACGTAGGTGTGCATGTGTCTGTACGTATATGTAGTTGCGCGTGTGCATGCCTGTGTGTGCAGAGGTGTGAGACACACACATTCTTCAGCCCCGGGAGGGCAAGGGGCTGCCCCGATGCCCCGGGGGCGGGGGCGGGGGCGATGTGCTGCGGCGGGGCTGCCTGCCTCCTGGCGCGGGCGCTGGGGCCGGGTCCTGTGTCAATGCAGCGGTTGTTCCCGCCGGGCTGCGCGGCTGCCGCGTCCCCTATTTACTGCGAACAAAGACTCGTTTCCAGGACGACGCCCCGCGCTTGGCAGCGGGACCGTCTCCTGGACCCCCGGGCCCCCCGCCCCGGGGCCCCCCCCGGCAGTGCAGGGGGAGGGGAGGGTGGGGTGGCTCCTGTTGGCCTGTGTGCACACGCATGCACACACCCCAGACTTCAAGGGACTCATGTGCACCCACACGCACCTGGCTCCAAGGGACGCACACGTATGCACACAAGCACACCATTTCAAGGAACACATGTATGCACACATATGATGCTCAGACGCACACACGTGCACATGGCTCCAAGGGACACATGCGCAGACAGACCCACATGCACACACACGCATGACCCCAGGCAACACCCATGCTCACACATGCATGCACCTATGCATGCCCCCACATGCACACGACTCCAAGGGATGCACACACATGCAGGCATGCACATGTGACTGCAGGGGACATGCAGACACATATACATGTGTGCACATGCACAACTCCAAGGGACGCGCAGCCGCGCACGTGCCATTCAGCAGCCACAAGAGACATCCCAACATGGTTGCGCCCCTCCGTGCCCCCCCCCCCTTGGGGGGCTGTGATTCGCCTGCGCTGGGGTTTGATGTCTTGGGGTGGGAGGGTTTCTGGCCACCCCGGCCCCTCCTGGCAGCTGGCTCCCTCGGCCAGTCCATCCCAGTTCGCCCAGTGGGCTCAGTGTCACCTGCCCCCGGCCCCGTGGGGGGCACGGGGGGCTCTGGGCACTCACGGCCCGGCTTTCCCGCTGCAGGAGAGTACGTGGAGGGGGTGAGTGACCAGGACGTCCTGCTCATCCACTCCTGCCGCCAGTGGACCACGGTGACGGCGCACAGCCTGGAGGAGGGACACTACGTCATCGGGCCCAAGATCGACATCCCGCTCCAGTACCCAGGTAGGGACCCATGGCAGTCTGGGCGTCCTGCGGGGCCTGCGGCCTCGGGCAGGGCTTGAGACTCGAGGAGCGGGCGCGGGCCCAGGCATGTGGGCCGTGCTCGTGGTGGTGGCGGGGCCGTGGCATTGCGAGCGGGGTCAGCCCCCCTCAGCCTTCTCTTCTGCAGACTCAATCAGCCCGTTTCCCTCAGCCTCTCCTCACCAGTCCTGTTCCCCGGCCCCACAACCATTTTCACTGTCCTCCCTCCAATGTGCCCACATCCTTTCTGCAGTGGGGGCCCACAGCTGGACACCAGATGTGCTCCAGATGTGGCCTCCCCGGTGCCTCGCAGAGGGGAAGAAGCGCTGCCCTGGACCCGCCGGCACTGTCCCCCGTGCAGGCGAGGGCCGTGGGGGCAGGGCTGTGCGCTGGGCGGGGGGCTGCGTATTAAGGCTCTGAGATCACCCAGGCCCTTAATGACCAGGCTAAGTGCTTCCCATCTCAGTAATGATTCACGTTGATGAATTAATAATGGGAGATGGATGGGGGGGCCCGACCCCCGGCCTGGGGGAGGGGCGGCGAGCCGCGGCGTGTTAACCTGCTTTGCTCGGCCTCATTCATAAAACCCAGCTCCAAGCTGCCATGACCCGAGCCGTGTTGCCTGGCAAAAGCGTGTGGGGTTGCTCAGCTTGGGGGGGTGATGCCCCGAGCCGGACCCTCAGCCCGGGACCCCGGTCCCACCTCTGCCGGCTCCTCTGGTTCCCAGCTCCCTGGGGACCCGCAGCCTTGTGCATGCTTCTTGTTTCAGCCTAGACCCTAAGTCCCAACTGCATCATCCCAGCCAGGGCTTTGTCAAGTCTGGGCTTCAAAACCTCCCAGGACGGAGACTGCACCACCGCTCTGGGGGGCCTGGTCCAGCGCTGCACCGCCCTCCTCGGGAGAAAAGTCTTCAAATACCCAAGCTCAGCTTCCCTTGCTGCAGCTTGAGCCCGTTGCTCCTTGTCCTGCCGTCTGCCACCTCAGCCCCCAACCATCTTCATTGCCCTCCGCAGTCCTCCATGCCTAGCTGGGGGGAGTTACCACGCGGGGTTCACCCCGGGCCTGCTCTTGTCCAGCGGCCTCATTAACGATTTGGAGGATGGGATTACATGTGCGTCGGCAGACCGGTGGACGATGCTACGTTGGGCGGATCGCAGACGCCCCCGAGGGCAGAGCCAGTGACCTGGGCAGACTGGAGAAATGGAGATGCAGGACAAGGGGCAGGGCTAGGAGCAATGGCCTCAAGCAGCAGCAGGGGAAACTGAGGCTGGAGAGGAGGAGGGACTTTGTGACCCTGCGGGTGCTCAGGCGTGGGCCCAGGCTGCCCGGGGACGCGGGCGAGTCTCCCCCCTCGGACGGTTTCGAGGGCAGACTGGATTTAGGCGGGGCCGGTCCTGCCTGGAGCAGGGGCTGGACGAGCCAGGGAGTCGCACCTTCCTAGAGCCGTCGTGGGGGCAAACCCTGCACACGATGCACCAGCCGAGCCCAGCACGAATGCGCCGGGTCCACAGCCTCCTGCCCGGCGGGAGCTCTCTGCAGCCGGACAACGGCTCTAGGATGCTGGCAGTCAGGAAAGCCGTGAGAGCAGAGCTGGCGCCGTCCCAGGGCTGGTCTAGTGGGCGCGGGGGAGGACAGCACCGCTCTAGGTGGGCTCGTGCAGGCCCTGCTTTGCTCTCAGCCCTTTGCTGACGGGTGCAATGTGCCCCGGCGGGCGGCTGTGACCTGCCCAAGCCTGCGGCCTCTCTCCTCTGCACCGGCGGTTGTGCGGTTGCTGTTGCCCGAAGCCGTTTGCCCGTTCGCAGCTGCAGGATGCTGAGACGTGGTTTGGGAGGAGGCCGGTCCACGGGTCCAGGGGGGCCCCCCGGCTCCAAGCTCGCTGCCCTTACTGCTGCCTCTCACGGGTG